AAAACTTCCATCTTATATTAAACAGTTAGCTACTCACTCTTGTCTTTCTTGTCTAGCCTCAGTAATTTACCTCAACGCAGTATCTGTAAGGTTCAACAGAACTTTCAGATTATTCAGTAAAGCTTTTCCAAAGTCACATCGACTGAAGGGCCCAAATTCTCCTACCAATAGGAATCTGCTTGCTAAAACTGCCAGCGGTAAAGAGCGGACTCACAACCAGCTGCCAAGAAAAGGGTTTGATAAGAGAACACAAATTCTGAGTGAATAACTGTTTCCAAGAGAGATCAAACAGCATTTAACAACTAGGAAATTGTTGATACTCATTCTTAAATCCCTTGATCCGGGGATCAAAGTGTGAGCTAATTTGCCCTGCCTCCCTAACTAATCCCTATCGCACCATATCGTCCTATTTCAAAGGGACGCACAATAAGTAATGTGGAAAATGAAGGGTAGAAAAGCATATAACAAAAGAGCAACAAATGAAGGTGATAAGTACTTAAAGAATGCTTCTGAAGGAGCCAGCTAGCCGGTCGGTCGTCAAGGGAAAGTTTTCCATCCTTCAGCGGCCATATGGTATCATCGGAGTCACTTAACCAGTGAGTCATGCAGACATTCCTTCGATAGTAAACATTCATACAGTACTATACCAGCAAAACGGTCAGTTTGTCAGTCAATATATCTGTCAGTTAGTCAGAACTGTAGTCAGTTTGCTTATGGGCCAGTTAGTCGGTCCTTCCGTCAGTCACTCAGTTAATCGGCTAGTTCGTCAATCGGTCACTCATTGTGTGAGGCAGTCCACTTAGTTGGTCATTTCGTAAGTTGGTCCATCGCCAGAAATCGAGGACATTTTGCTCCCGCATTCATTGGTCAGCGGATTGGAGTCGGATGGAAACAAAGATAGAAGTTAGGACAACTTCCATATTAAATATTGAGCGATTTAAGTTCTGTGGACTTTCTTTATGGAGAAAAAAGGAAAAAAAATAGCTTTGAACATATCTCTTGGTAATTTTAAGGCAGAGCGACTCATAGCAATTTGCTGTCTGATGGGGACAATCTGTGCAAAGCTTCAATGTCCATTCAAACTGGCTTTATTTGTAATCGTCTACGGATGTCAGACATTTTGGAAATTGTAGCTTAAACCACTTGCATTAAATAATGGGAAGATCTAGGGAAATCTTACTTGAAAAGGGGTTTTTCTCCCAGTTGAAAACACAGTTTAACGAACGTACTATACAGATCACTTTGATCTGCTTCCTAATTTTGGCGCGAGAAAATAAATTTGTTCAAGGCTTACTTTAGTATGAGAGGGTCTGGATTGAGTTTATTTCCCGTCAAACATTGCTGAATAAGAAAAACAAATATGGCGACAGTTTAAAGGTTTCGCAGAGGGTTTTTCTTTTAACGCTTTCCCTTCTGGTGCGTTCTCAAGGATGGTCTCAGATCACAGACTCCACAGAGCAAAAATAGCAATTTTCAAGCTCTTTTGGAAGTATCTTATTGTCAAGAAATGTCTCTTTTTATGGACGATTTGCTTACTTCGAACTTCCCTTTATTTAATGCGAGTCGGAGCTACTTGACTTCTTGGAGGGTTGCTCCTCAAATCGACGATCCTTTGCCATGGATTACGCTATATTTGAAACAGACTAGAGGAAATGACTAGCCTCGAATATCGAACATTACTGACATTGCTGGAAGTAAGTAGACAAACAGCTTTTGAATGATTTTTATCCTAGAAGTACAGCTTAATCTCTACTGAACTTGTTTCGAGTCGGAACTAGGGAATACTCTGACTCGTATTTGTTAAATTTCTGGCAACGCTGTCAGTCACTAACTAAGTTAACCAATCGATAAAACCGTCGATCAGTAAATCATTAGGTTCGTTCGTCACTCAGTAGCTCAATCAATAATTTAGTTAGTCGGTCCTCTGATCAGTCATTTAGTCAAATAGATAGCATGTCAGTCGGTTAGTCCAACACTCATTTCACTGGTCAAGTCGCTCACTTAGCCTGCCTGTCATTTGAACAACCAGTCAAATGACAGATCAGTCTGGTAACTAAGTTTGTTGTTCAGTCGGTTAGTCACTCAGTAAGTGGATCAGCCAACCAGTCATTATGTCATTCAGCAAGTCATTCAGGTTAACTAATTACTAGCTTTATCACTGCGTTAGCCACAGAGTCCGCCAGTCTCTTGGATGGTCAGTCAATCGGTCTGTGAAAGAGCGTTTGGTTGACAAACTACCTAGTCAGTCATTCAGTTAGTCAGTCAGTGAATCAGTCCGTCCATCCGTCAGTCAGTTAGAGAGTCAGTCAATTGGTCACTTAGTCATTCAAGCGGTTAGTTACTCAGTTGGTCAGTCAGTCCTAATTAATCAATTAGCATTCAATCGTGTATCCTACCGTTTGTCAATCCCATAAAAATCTTGCTGAAGGAAATCAGTATATTCGGAAAGAAAGCACTTGTATTCTCTATAATATTTCTTGTGTCTCCAAAGATAAAAATTACAGCTAAGTAGAAGAACAAAATGATTAAATGTTCTATCGCCACCCAGACGCAATTGACAACAATGGCGGTAACAAAAAACATGACACAAACTTTTATGGCCGCTGCTGCCACGTAACCAGCAAATAAATGTGCGCTTAAACGATCCAGTTTCTCTTGAACGATTCTTGCTTGGTTACTGAAGGTGGTAAACATAGAATCGAAGTACCTCTTGGCCTTTTTAAAGGCACTAGAAACCTTGTCGTGCTGAGTGATCTTGGCGTGGTTACTGCTGACGGAAAACATTGAATCGAAGCGTCTTTTGACCACTTCAATGGCGCAAGAAATCTTGACACAAAAATTTCCTGTGCCTTGTTTGTTCCAATGCAACAACATTTTCACTACGCAATACAAACAACACACTTGGAAAAAACTTCTCCAGTCCATTCTTAAATTTAAGGCCCAATCCGAGAAAAATGTAATTTGGTAATTCAAGATAGTGAACACGCCCTATAATGCGAATAACGTGGTGGACCTGAGGGAGTATATGGGAACTCTCAGAGATCCCTTTACGATTATCGAGATACCATAGAAGGCATACATTGCGATACTCACCATTATTTTAAAAACGAAACGAGCGAGGGAAATCGATAATCCACACAGCAACGAGAACCAAGATCGAAAATGATATACGCACTCGACCGCAACCACTATCATGAACAACATGGCAACAATTTTTATCGCCACAATTGCCTTGTAACCAGCCGAAGAATGTCCACTTATGCGATCCATCTTGTTGCGAATCATCTTTGCTTGGTTATGGATAATGATACAGAAAGAATCAACAGCATCTTGGTCTGATAAATTGTATCGAAGATTTTGCCACGTAAACCATTCCACTCGGTCTGTCTAACGCTTCCTCTTTGTCTCCTCGAATCGTTCCCTAGAGACATCATGTATCGAAGAATTTTGCTCAATATCAGCGGTAAGAATCGTTTATCTTCTATGTTTCGTTTACAGTTTCAAACAACCTTCGGTAGAGTATTCTGAAACCTGATCTATGAAGTTATCAAGTCTTCAGTTGTAAAAGCAGTTGTGCAAGCCAGAAGTGGCGATTGCGTGATATTTCACGAAAGTGAGGTTAGCATTTTCTGTATCGTCTCAATACCGTGTCAATATTAGCAGAGGAATGACTACGAACGCGCGTTTGAAATGGGAAGTTAATAAACGTTTTCCCTCTCGATATTCACTGTTTTTCTACTGGTAACGTTGAATTAAGGATAATTTAATAAATGATCTGTGGGCAATCTGTACCAAAACCAGTCGCCTTCAATCTTTAGCAACCGTGAGCTCTTCAACAAAGTAATAACTTTGCTGATGAAAATATAGTCACCTAAATTGAAAGGATTAAAAGAAAGGGATGGCTGAGTTTAGATGAGAATGATTCTGAAGGATTAGCGGCCTTTTTTAATCATGAGGCACGAGTCACTCGAGAGCGACGACAGGAGCAGCTTGATAACAACTTTTACGGGCCTCATTCTCAGTCGAAATCCGTGGACTTCAGCTACAGCGGAAAAACAAGAATGAATGTCACTAAAATCAAACTCTGCTAAAGATATACTGATTATGATAGAAATTTTTTACTCGGCATGAAAGTCACGAAGTAAAACGCTCTACTTCCAGCATGGTGGCATCAATACGGTGGGAGACAAAGAAGCAAATCATAACAATTTTTGAATAACACGCTTCCCAACGCTTAGTTGATCAAGGATAAAGCTTAGCCAACCATGTCTGTGTCAAAACAAATGAAAAATATCCAAAATACGACCAGCACCTTGACTGGTCAAAAACCTTTTTTTTTATTGCACCTGTAAGCCCATAGAAAATTGAAAAACTTTAAGGTATAACAAAAAGGAATTAGCAATTTCATTCATACCTAACTAGCATGCAAACTAATCGCACCACATTTTAAAAGCTCGCATGAACTAAAATGTTAATAAACTCTAATTTCAGATTTTTTATTTACTTTTATAATTTTGACCGTATAACAAAAGGGGAGCTTATTCTTTCATGCTGAGAGTGAGAACTTTTTGGCACATCAAGCTATACATGTAGCTTTGAGGTAATTCATTTATTCTCTGCGTTCGGGAGGTGCCACCTCGGCTGCTAATAACCGTTTCAAAGGGCGAGTTTTTTAGCGCCATGGTCGCTTAAAATCAGCTGATTTTAAGAACATCTACGTTGACGACAGTATCGGGCATAGACTCCCGGTTTCAAAGCGTTTAGGTGTTGCTTTTCTTGGGCACCCAATACTTTTTCGTGCCGTAGTGTTTTGGGTTGATTCTTACCAGACTCTCTCCAAATATATTAATTTGTCAGAAAGCTTTGCTGTTTTGCATGATTTTTAGTGGAGACAAAATATAACAATGATTTCAAACTTCTTATGGAATTCTTTATGTAATGCTCATTTGTTTAAAATATGGTCAGAAATTCTCTGTCAAAACAAGTTCACGGAATTTTCATTTAATACTCAATCACGTGGACGAAATGTTACAAACATTATAAGCTAAACTGGGTCCGTGGAAATGTCTTCATAATACTCGAGTGGTACTCATGAGTGCAAATACGTATCAAACATTGTTTAATAAGAGGGTCTTAATAGGGTGATGACTTTTAAGGTTATCAGTGAAACTTTTGGCCACCTTACTGCTAACAAATTTATTTACGTTACCTTTAAAATAAAAAAAAAACTACGGTAAACTTTTTCTCCAACGAACGGTTAACATTTGTCAATCTTTACGTCTAACAGCTAACTTTGTTTACCGTTTTATAGCTAAGGGTTAACCCCACTGATGTATTCGGAACCTTCACTTCAAGAATTATTGGAGGTGATTGTAAATCTACATCACAAACGTCTTGCCAGAAAAATTCTCTACTCCTGTGTGGGTCGCGGCTTCAGCTTCTCTCCTAAACGCAGAAACAGGCCTTTCGTCATCATATAAGGGTAGCAGGTTCACATTCCATTGAACCGATGGTGTTAATTAAGCAGGAGCTCACTGAAACACAAAAGCAAGAAACAAGCTAGTTAATACCTATTGGCATTCTTAAAAGTTGTCTTAACTAGAGGTTACTTTGAGTTATTCATTATGTGTTTTAAACTCTTTTAGGAATTTAATAGTGGTACTATGGCACAAAAATGGACTACATGGTGCGGAACCTCAGGACATTTTATGTGTATAATTGTGTATTACCTTGAGCATCTGAATTATCAAACTCCAAGACAACCCCTCCTGGAGGCGCGAAAAGCTTTATGATGTGCCGCATAAAATCTTGTTCAGTCTCAGCCACAAACCAATTTGTAGCACTTTTCGAAGGCGGGCCAACAAAAATGACACAATTTTTTTCAACGACATCTGTCAGTCCGGAGCCAGCTGTTTACAAAAATTTTAAAAATTCAATGGATGTATTATGCCTTACCGAGATCTGTGCGTTATACCTAATTCAAGAATTAACACAAGTGGAAATTGAACATTTTCAAAACTAAATTGCAAACGCAATGGAAGGGTTACCTTTCACAGGTCTTCTACTCCAGGCCACATACATGGTGTAAGCCTTCCCTCCGGGGGTACATTCCTCCAGGGTTTGTGTTAAGGATTCATCTTTTTCTCTCACAACAATGATGTAGTTAGTCTTCTTCAATCTTGTGTTCAGGCCACACATCTTCCTTAAAGTATCCTTTAAATTTTCCTCACTCCACTTCTGAAAGGTTGCCAAATTTTAAAAAAAATAAGCGGTTATAATAACCGGTGATACATTAACAGTAGCTCTCATTTTTATTTTTCTACTTTGAGAGGTGAGTAGTTTTCTGAGAGTAGTCAGCTTGAAGAGAACTGTGATCTTTGATGAACGGATAACGATCGTGGTAAAATTTTAAAAATATTGAAGAAAAAAGAAAACAAACGCTGAGCTTACTTTTTGTCTTTGTATAATGATTAAATCAGCACCGCTAAAGGGGATGCTTTTAAATGCTGAAGAAAAAACATTATCATCCACAGAGAACAGTACGCAGTAAAATTTCTCATTGATGGACAAAAATAAGGGGCGATCTGTAAGAAAGAAGAAAAAAAAGGAGCCAAATAAGTGCTTATTCACGCCATAGCATCAATTTTTTTTTCACGAAAAAACGATATTTTTGTATCATTTGTAAGCTGTTACAAGGGTAAATGACCAAAATGACAGCTTGCATCTAATGACACCTTTTACTAAGCTGTAGGAACTATCGTTAGTTGATATCATTGCCTTCTGCTACCCAGCTTGGTCACTAGCTCAATAGGTAATACAGTAAGTCAGTACGTTAGGCAGTTTGTAAGCTGCATAAGTTGATTATCAACCAGCATTTGATGAAGCTAGGCAAAAACCGCAACGGAAGTAGTCTAGGTTAACCCTTGTTGATAAAGGGAAGCAGTTGATGTCTTACCATATCTTGTCTTACCTGCCTCTTGAGTTTCACATTGGTCGTTGTTGTACATACACCCAATCTCGCCACTTTCTTCTGGGTACCCTTTCCTGGTCGTACGCGTAAAGGGCAGGTTATTCTGGTAAGTGGAGGAAGGTAGAATGGACAAGTGCTCTGGGGACAAGCTCATGCTGTTAATGCGTACTGAAACATCCTTTTGCCCTGGAGGCAGTGTATCTTCATCACTAAGAAATATCGCATAGGGAGAAAAGGAAAGATTATTTGAGTGTCACAAGAACACATCGCTGTGTTTGTATTCTGTGGCATCACTTTGCTTTATAAGTCACTTTTTTTGCGCACATCTATTACAATCCAAAAACAAAAAGATTACGTAAAGAAACCTTTACCTTTCAATAGCTTGTACTTCCAACTCTGGGATGTCTCTCTCACTTGAGCTTTTCAAATCCGCATCTTGAGTTTCATAGTGGTTGTTGTCGTACATACATACCACTCTTCGATTACCTTCCCGGTACTCTTTCCTAGTCCTAGAGGGCAGGTCATTCTGCTCGGTGGGAGAAGGTGGAGTGAACGAGTGCTCTGATGACGAAGTCATGCTGTTCACGAAGGGTGAGGCATCATTTTTACGTGGAAGCACACTTTCTACCTCACTAAGAAATGTTAATAGAGGGAAATGAAAGATATTTGAGTGTCAAAATAATGCTTTCTAGCTGTAGGTCAAATGTTAATGAGTACCCAGAAAATGACACGGACCGGTTATAAGGGGGTGTCTAGCAACTTGAAAAGGGGGGTAGGAGGGGGCAAAAGTTTTTCGCGTTCAACCCATTTTATTTGTGCACATATGTAACAGTCCAAAAGAGAAGATTACACTTAAGAAGAAATAACCTTTCAGCAGTTTGTCCTGGGTTACGGTTAAATAGTCCCGGAGCATTTTCACCACAGTGGGGCTTTTTCAACGCTGTGTTGTCTGTCACGCAAGAGGTTTTCCATTCAGCACCACTGCTTTCCTTATATTGAAAACCGTTGGTTAGATGAGAACGATGCTCTGAGCGTTTTACGTATTCCAAGCGTTTGACAGAGAGAGAGCTCTGGCAAATGGGTGCGGTTTGTCTTTCCTCACGAATGTGACGTGCTTCTAAAGAGACGAGTAAACAAATTGTAAATTGTCATTTTTAAAGAAAACCGATACTTTATGTTTATTTCTCATTAATCAAATTTTGTACAAAAATTGATCTCTCAATATGCAAGTCTACAATAAACTAAATAGACAGTTAATCAGTAGGTTTGTAAACAAATCATTAAGCAAGAAAGTAAGTCAACTCAGCAATTTAGTTAGTTACCTAGTCAGTCAGTCAGAAACGCAATAAGTCAATAAGTCAACAGCTCAGTACGCGAGTTAGTTAAATTCAGTAATTCAGTTATTGGTGGTCAGCACCTCAGTAAGATAAGTAAAGGTAAAGTCTGTTTACGAGCCTAGTGGCCCATTAGGCCGGTGCTTAACTCCGGTTTCTGTAGCATGAAGCGACTAGGAGTATTTCTACTCCCCCCTGGATGGGATGCCAGTCCATCGCAGGGTTACCCCCCAGCATTAAATTGTCGGTACCCATTTATGCACCTGGGTGAAGGGAGGCACTGTAAGAGTAAAGTGTCTTGCCTAAGAACACAACACAATGTCCCGGCCGGGGCTCGAACCCGGACCACTCGATCCGGAGTCGAGCGCACCAACTATGAGGCCACCGCGCCTCCACACCTCAGTAAGATAGTAAGCCAAAAAGTTAAGGTGATCAAGGATAATAGTTTTTTATTTAATCTAGCGGTCTCTAAGTAGCGAAAGAATTAATATCTGCGAAATAGAAGTCATGAAAATAGAAAGAGGAACGTTAGTACCACAAAACAGGTAAAGCTTCAAAATATTCCGCAATTTCCAGTCGAACTGAGCCTTGGTTTAAGAAAAACATCCGTGTTCGGAGCCTATCGTCCTAGTTTCCAGTAAACGTGGTGTGAAAAGCACAACTATGACTTAAAAGAACTAGTTAATTATGTCATTCACTGATCCAGATGAGGAATCATACAACTGATGAGGCTTTGGTTATATACGACTTGAGTTTGCAATTAAAGAGAACTGTGGTATTCATAAAAACACGTCTCCTCTGTACACAAAATCATTAAAAAAAGTCCTAACTGGAACAACAAGTTATGTCCCTTCAATTACACAGGTACAGCTGTAGATGGTAGGAAGTTGAATGATAAGGATAGGAGAAATGTTGGATCCCCTTGAAACCACTATGCACTTGTCAACAGCTTGAAGGCGCAGTTGCCAGTAAAAAAATCAACAACAACAAAACAATTTGAAAGATAATAAAAATATTCTCACCATTAACTAATTCCCGCATCTTATTCAATAGAGTGTCACACAATATTTCCCAGCTGAACTTCTCCTCGTATGCAGCTCGCAGTTGCTGAATCTCTTTAAGTCGGTGTGCTCTTTTCTTCTGTCGGACACCATCAATTGCCTTTGCCCACTCCTTAGGCTCCTCGGACTCCACCACGAATGATTCTCCTGATGATATAGTGCACAGTGCTTCACCAAATCCTGAGTTGCTACTGACAAGAATGGGAAGACCAGCGGACATGGCTTCCAGAGCCGTCAAGCCGAACCCCTCGGTTCTAGATGGCATAATACAGAGGTCCACCTCACAAAATAATTCCTTCAATATATCCTTGCTTTGCACGAACTTTCTCACAGTCAGCTGATTTTTACTAATTCCACTTTTCAATAGTTTTTCTGCAACCTCATCCTGCTTCCCTTCAGGTGCACCTACGAGGATCAGACGATATGATTTGTCTCTCAGTTCAGCTATCGCCCTCGCAGAGATATCGTAGCCTTTCAGACTGAAGTCCTCTGGATCACCACGGCCAAACGTTAAAACCTTAAACTCTTTCATTTCGTTTGTAGCTTGTTTTACGTTTGAAAACTCACTGAACGTGCTTGGCATCAGTTGAATTATATGTTGGTGCTTCTCACTTGAGCGCAGGTAGGAAGAGTAAGCCCTGGTCAACTTTGGTCCCACCGCCGCAACAGCATCTGCCAACTTACACAATTCCACTTCATCTTCCTTCTTCTCTTCTCCTTTGGAAATAGCCATATCATACTCTTTATGTATTCCAAGTTCTTCCGGTGCAGTGTGCTCCACTTGAATCCACTTGCAACCACGATTTACTCTGATAATTTGGGCTTGCTTACCAAGCTTTGCTCCATGACCCAGTACAATGTCAATATCAAGGTCTGTCGGTGGGAAATTCAACCAATCAAGAGAATTACTAAAGGCTGGACGCTTCTCCGCTTCTCTCACGAAAACATTTTGACTTCGTGCACATCTCTTCTCTTCTTCAGAACAAGCAAATTGTGGGACAAGGAAAGTAACGCTTACTTCTTCCTTACGTTTTCCCAGAAGAATGGCAAGCTGTCTGTTTATGGTGGACAAGCCTCCCATCGATGAACTCCACTCACTGGCTAGGAGAGTCACCTTCAATACTGAAAATTGATTTGATACATTTCGACTAAAGGAACGCATTCACAGGAGTGTAATCATTAGATACGATCACATGCTGGGAAAACATTATGTTAGCAGCGCGCGGAGAAAAGTTTTCCTTGTCGTAGAAAAAAGAGTACTACACACGGAGCATTCTAACTTTCGGTGCTTTAGAGCTGTGTTGCAGCCTTTCTCCAGTATTTTCTCCCTGGAAAAAGATTAGCATTAACTCAGCACTAGCCTCCTAGGCAGACCTTCTTATGACTCGCCACGCAAACTTCTGTTGCAATGAACTGAAAGAATGAAATGAAAAATGAAGACAAAAAAAACCTTTGAAGTTTAGTATTCTTCTGCACGTTTGCTCTTCATTTCTGAGGTCTAAAAAGTGTATTTTATCACGAATGGAGCAAAAGAAGGAAAAGCCACCCTGATAATTTTTAGCGTACGGTCCGAAAAAATATTGCTGTATCCATCTATATCTTAATAAAAAGTAATTTGGTTTTATCAACTCAGTTGATAATGCAAATTGGCCACCGTAAAAATGTCATTTTTAAACAGAAACCAGTTTTCCTCATCAAATCAGTTGATAAAACCGGTTTACCCCATTACCCCCACCGATGCAGCTCTACAGTTTCTTTCAAAACTTACTCTCTTCTCAATCTAAGGTAGTTTTATAAGTATCGGTTTTGCTGTGACTTTCTTTTGTGCTCTCTTAAGTTAAGTAAATAAAAACATGAAACAAAACAAACAAAAAATAAAACAAACAAAAAACGCTTCGCACAAATTTGTGTTTTAAATCTGCATGAGTAGCTGTTCAAAAAACTAATGTCGAGACCTCTTGGTTTTCTAACGTGACGGCTATCAACTCCAAAACTTCAGAACAACTGTTGTACAATTTCTAGACAATTTTTGGAAATTTTCTGGCCTTTAAGATGTTGTTTTGTTGCAAGAAAAGGTGCCACAACCCTAGTAAACTTCACATAGTTTCTGATGAAAGAACTTGGATCAGAAGCCATTGACTGTTGTCACTTGGTCACTAAGTCAATATTCAATTCAGTAGGGTAGGTCATTTGTAAGCCGATTATTAAATTGATTGTTAACCAGAGTTTGTTAAAGCTAGGAAAAGGGTCGCAAAGGAAGTAGGTAGGCTAACCCTTGCTCCTAAAGAGGAGCGTAGTTATGCGAGTTCGAACTGTAGAAACTAGAAACTAGCTAAAGAACTGGCTGTAAGCTCGGAGGCCTGACTACTTAGACACTTGGGCTAGGAAACTGTTTTTGGAGTGAACGGGAAACTTTGATCAAAGGCCAATTTTTTCTTTAGCTTTGTAGTGGAATTGTAAATCTAGAGTTTAAGTGTAAATGTGGCTGTATCATCGGCGACACAAGAGAAGGTGCAAAAACTCAGTAAACTTGATGTAGTTCATGATAAAAGAACTTGGATCAGGAGTCATTGACTCTTATCACTCGGTCACTAATTCAGTAGGGTGGGTAGTTCTTATGCCACACGAGTTGACTATTAGCCAGAACTTGTTAAAGCTGGGCAAAGGGCTGCAACGGAAGTGGGTAGTTTAACCCTTGCAAATAAAGAGGAGCGTTTTAAGTGTTACCATATCTTGGCTTACCTCTCTCTTGATTTTCAAAACATTCCTTTGATTTCCAAACTGTTCGTCTACGTTCGTCGCCATTATCTTCCCGGCACCTTTTCGGGGTCGTAAAGGGCAGGAGGAACAGTTTAGTGGAGAAAGGTGAAGTAGACGAGTGCTTTAATGACGTGGTCATGCTGTTAACGTCGGTTGAGGCATCCTTTTCACGTTGTGGCTCAATATCCTCATCACTGAGAAGTTCAAACAGGGAGAAATGAAGATCTCTGCATGTCAAAGTCGTACTTTATAGCAGTTGAGAGGTGTAGGAGTGTAGCCTTTCGCAGCTATTTGCTTTAAAGGTCACCTGATTTGTGCACAAATGTCATACTACAAACAAGCATCACGTAAAGGTAACTTTACCTTTTAATAGCTGGTCCTGGACTTAGGTTATATGGTCCCTCAGCATTTTCGTCACGGCAAAGCTCTCTTAACACTATCGTGTCTGTCTCAATTGAGCTATTGCATTCCGCACTACTGCCATTATCTTCCCGGTTCTCTTCCTCAGTCATGAACGGGAGGTCATTCTGGTCAGTAGAGGAAAGAAGACTGAAAAAATGCTCTGATGACGTGGTCATGCTGTTAACGTTGCTTGAGGCATCTTTTTCACGTGGTGACACAGTATCCTCATCACTAAGAAGTTCAAATAGGAAGGAAATGAAGATATTCGTGCGTGACAGTCATAGCTTATAGCCGTTGAGAAGTGTAAGAGTGTAGTCTGTTGCCTCTGTTTGCTTTGAAAGTCACTTGATTTGTGCAAATGTGTCATAATGAAAAATAAGCATCACGTTAAGATAACTTTACCATTCAATAGCTGGTGCTGGGCTTAGGGTAAATGGTCCCTCAAGATCGTCGCCACGGTAAGGCACTTCCAGCACAGTCATGTCTGTCTCAATTGAGCATTTTGATTCCGCACTACTACTGTTATCTTCCTGGTACTCTTTTCCATTCATGCAGGGGAGGTCCTTTTGGTCAGTAGGAGAATGAGGACTGCAGGAGTCCTTTGATGACATGGTCATCCTACTGACGTCGGTTGACGCATCGTTTTCACGCGGTTGTACAGTATCCTCAGCACTAAGAAGTTTAAATAGGAGGGAAATGAAGATATTTGTGTGTGAAAGTGATTGTTTAATCCCGTTGAGAGTTGTAGGATTGTAGTCTATGACATCTATTTCCTTTGAAAGTCACTTGATTTGTGCGCAGGTTTCATAATAAAAGCAATCATCTCGTTAAGATATTTTACCGTTTAATAGCTGGTGCTGGGCTTAGGATACATGGTCCCTCACGATTGTCGCTACGGTAGGGGTCCTCAAGCGCAGTCATGTCTGTCTCAATTGAGCTTTTCGGGTCCGCACTACTGCCGTTTTCTTCCTGGTACTCTTCCCCAGTCATAGAGTTTAGGTAATTCTGGTCAGTAGAGGAAGGCGGAGTTGACGAGTGCTCTGATGACGTGGTCTTGCTGTTAACGTAGCTTGAGGCATCTTTTTTACGTGGTGGTGCCGTATTTTCATCACTAAGAAGTTGAAATAGATGGAAACGAAAGATACTTGCGCGTGACAGTCATAGTTTATAGCCGTTGAGAGGTGTAGGACTGTAGTCTGTTGCCTCTCTTTGCTTTGAAAGTCATTTTATTTGTGCAAATGTGTCATAATAAAAAATTAAGCCTCACGTTAAGATAACTTTACCTTTCAATAGCTGGTGCTGGGCTCAGGGTAAATAGTCCCTCACGATTTTCGCTACGGTTTGGCACTTCCAGCATAGTCATGTCTGTCTCAATTGAGCTTTTTGTTTCCGCACTATTACCGTTATCTTCCCGGTACTCTTCCATAGTTATGAAGGGTAGGTTATTCTGGCCTGTAGAGGTAGGAGGACTCGACGAGTGCTCTGATGACGTGGTCATATTGTTAACATCGGTTGAGGCATCTTTGTTAAGTGGTGGCTCAGTATCCTTATCACTAAGGAGTTTAAATGGGGAAAAATTAAAGATATTTGCACGTGATAGTCGTAGTTTATAGGCATTAAGATGTGTAGAAGTGTAATCTGTTGAATCTGTTTGCTTTGAAAGTCACTTGATTTGTGCACCAGTGTCATAATAAAAAGAAGCATCACGTTGATACATCTTACTTTTCAATAACTGGTCCTGGGATTAGGATAAATGGTCCCTCACGATTGTCGCCACGGTAGGGCTCTTCCAGGACAGTTATGTCTGTCTCAATTGAGCTTTTGGAGTCCGCGCTACTGCCTTTAGCTTCCTGGTTCTCTTCCCCAGGCATAAAGGGTAGGCAATTCTCATCAGTAGAGGAAGGTGGGGTGGACGAGTGCTCTGATGACGGGGTCATGCTGTCAACGTCGCTTGAGGCATCTTTTTCACGTTGGGGCACAGTATCCTCATCACTGAGAAGTTTAAATAGGAGGGAAATGAAGATATTTGTGTGTGACAGTCATAGTTTATAGGCGTTGAGAGGTGTTGGGGTGTAGTCTGTTGGATCTGTTTGCTTCGAAAGTCACCTGACTTGTACACAAGTGTCATGATAAAAATAAGGATTAAGTTAAGATATCTGACCTTTCAAAAGTTGGTGCTGGGCTTGGGCTAGATGGTCCCTCAGCATTGTCGTCACGATAACTCTCTCTTAACACTGTCATGTCTGTTTCAATTGAGCTATTGCATTCCGCACTGCTGCCGTTATCTTCCTGGTTCTCTTCCCCATTCATAGAGGGTAGTTCATTCCGGTCACTTGAGGAAGGTGTAGTGGACGGGTGCTCTGATGATGTGGTTATGCTGATAACGACACTTGAAGCATCTTTTTCACGTGGTGGCACAGTATCCTCATCACTAAGAAGTTCAAATAGGGGGAAATAAATTATTTCGGTGCGTGACAGTCATACTTTATAGCCGTTAAGGAGAAGGAGTGTTGTCTTTTGCATCTGTTTGCGAGGAAAGTCACTTGATTAGAGCAAATGTGTCATTATAAAAAATAAGCATCACGTTAAGGTAAATTTACCTTTCAATAGCTGGTCCTGGGCTTGGGTTAAATGGTCCCTCCGCATTTTCCTCACGGTAGGGCTCTCTTAACACTGTCATGTCTGTCTCAATTGAGCTATTGCATTCCGCACTATTGCCGTTATCCTCCCGGTACTCTTCCCCAGTCATGGAGGACAGGTCATTCTGGTCAGTAGAGGAAGGCGGAGTAAACGAGTGCTCTGATGACAAGGTCATGCTGTTAACATCGGTTGAGGCATTCCTTTCACGTGGTGACATAGTATCCTCATCACTAAGAAGTTCAAATAGGGGGAAATAGACGATATTTGTGCGTGACAGTCATGCTTTATAGCCGTTAAGGAGTAGGAGTGTAGTCTGTTGCATCTGTTTGCTGTGAAAGTCACTTGATTAGGGCAAGTATGTCATAATACAAAATAAGCATGTCGTTAAGATAACTTTACCTTTCAATAGCCGGTTCTGGGCTTGGGTTAAATGGGTCAAACATCATTGCGGTGTAGAAGCGCAGAGTTTCTGCAACTGCTACCAATTTGGCCCAGAGTCTAACAACAGCAACTGAGATCGAGTTCAGAAGATAACGTGGTACAGTAAGGCAATATGATGCCATTAAAGTAATCCATTTAAAGAAACTGTAGACAATACTGCTCAGGAGGGCGTTGAAGGTCAAGGACGATATTAGTCGGTAAAATGCTGCAAGAATGAGGAAATACGCCATCCATTCCAAAAAAACTTGGGCATTACTGATTATTACCTCACGGGCCTTCGAAATTAACTGGCTGTGATTGTTTTCAACATCATCATCCTCAACCTTGGAATTAAGCAGATGGTCTGCCCGATCTTGTGGTGGTTCTACTACAAAAGCCTGTCCATTCAACCCTTCTGGGATGCTTACCTAAGAAGCAGAATGAATGTATGAGTTGATTTCAATGCAGAACGACTGACATAGTCAAGTTAGCTAGTTGTAACAAGTAATTGTTTCTTTATTTGTTTATTGAACTTCCATTAGTGTTTTAAGAGGATGTACCTTTTAATTCAGTATGGGTATGATTATATCAACTGGCTACACGCTGTATTTTATTATCGTAACCAATGAAGAAGCAGCCCTTAAAAATAACCTTGAGTGTTTTTGTTTTTATATGTGTTTCGTAAATAATCATGCGCTATGTTATTTCAGGTAATATCAAGAGGGGCCGCTAAAGTGGCCCCAGAAGGAAACCAAATTAAAAATTTGGATACAGCTGCCCATGCGAGAGTCTTCAAAGATGTCCTGAGTATTCCGTCATCGACAAATTTTGATTTGATCATCAAATAGACAAATTCAACAAACCTGCGATGCGTCTTGCTTAAAAAGCAAAGCCATGTACTCCAAGAAACCGTGGGCGATGCTTGTTAACGTCTCAAAGATGTTTGAGGCGAGCACGCGGATATTCTCCATCATGGCACAAATATTCTCCCAATATCTACTACTGGCAAATGCCGCAAAAATCATTAAGATGAACATGTGGAGATTGTCCAAAATAAGAACCATATTTTCCCAGACTGTAACAAGAACGACTGAATTCAGTGACTCAAGTAGATTACATGTAACAGCCAAACAATATGACACGAGCAAAGCTACTGACTCCGAGAAGCTGTGGGCGATATTGGTCAATCCCTCAAAGATCTTCAAGACAAACATGCTGATATTGTCCATAATAAGAACCATACTTCTCAAGGCATCAAAAACTTTCAAGGTGAGCAAGCGGAGATTCTGCCAGTATCTAGTGCTAGTCGTCATTACTACGTCCAAAATCATTGTGGTGTAATTGTAGAGATTGTCTAAAACTGTCACCATTATGTCCCAGAATCTATCTTTAACGACTGTGATACATTGAAGTAGGTTACGTAGTACAGTGAAGCAATATAATGCTGATAAAGCAGTCCATTCGAAGAAACGGTAGGAAATACTGTTCAAGGTATCAGAGACCTTCAAGGAGAACAAGCGGGGATTCGGCCAATATCTTATGCTAGTCATAATCAATATTTTAAAAAACATTGCGGTATAGATGCCAAGACTGTCTAAAACAGCTACCAGTGTATCCCGGAGTCTAACAACGGTGACTGAGATCCATTGAGGCAAGTAACGTACTACAGTGAGGCAATAAGATAATAATGAAGTAATCCTTTCCAATAAATGGTAGGCAATACTACTCAAGGCATCAAGCATCTTCAAGGTGAATGGGAAGAGATTCTGCCAGGATCTAATGCTGGCCATCATCAGTACCTCAAAAAGCATTGCAGTGTAGGTGCAAAGATTGTCTAAAGCTGCTCCCATTATTTTCCAAACTCCAACTTTAACGACTAAGATCCATTGAAGTAGGTAACGTGGTACAGCGAGACAGTATGATGCTAGTAAACTAATCCAGTCCAAGAGACGGTAGGCAATACTGCTCAAGGTATCAGAGACCCTTAAGGTGAACAAGCGTAGATTTTGGCAATGTATAGTGCTGGTCATCATCAATACCTCAAAAAACATTGCAGTGTAGATGCGGAGACTTTTTAAAACTGCTACCATTATGTGCCAGAGTCTAGCAACAGCCAATGAGATCCACTCAAGTACGTAACGTGGTAGAGTAAGGCTATATGATGCTAGTAAGGTAATCCATTTCAAAAAGCTGTAAGCAATATTGATTAAAGCACCATAGACCTTCAGGGTGAAAAAGCAGAGATTCTGCCAATATCCAATGCTGGTCATCATCAATACCTCAAAAAACATTGCAGTGTAGATGCGGAGACTTTTTAAAACTGCTACCATTATGTGCCAGAGTCTAGCAACAGCCAATGACATCCACTGAAGTACGTAACGAGGTATAGTAAGGCTATATGATGCTACAAAGGTAATCCATTCCAAAAAACTGTAAGAAATATTGATTAAAGCACCATAGACCTTCAGGGTGAAAAAGCAGAGATTCTGCCAATATCCAATGCTGGTCATCCTCAATACCTCAAAAACCGTTGCAGTATAGATGCGGACACTGTCCAAAACTGCTGCCATTATGTTCCAAAGTCTAACTTTAACGACTGAGATGCATTTAGATAGGTAACGTGGTACAGTGTGGCAACATGATGTTAGTAAAGTAATCCATTCTAAGATACGATAGGCAATGCTGCTCAAGGTATCAGACACCTTTAAGGTAAACAGGCTGAGATTCTGGCAGTATCTAGTGCTGGTCATCATAAACACCTCAAAGAGTGTTGCAGTGTAGGTGCGGAAATTGTCTAAAACTGTTACCATTATGTGCCAGAGTCTAACAATAGCAACTGAGATCCACTGAAGTAGGTAACGTGGTACAGTAAGGCTATATGATGCTAGTAGGGTAGTCCATTTCAAAAAACGGTAAGCAATACTGCCTAAGGCACCATAGACGTTCAAGGTAAAAAAGTAGAGATTCTTCCAGTATACTATGCTGGTCATCCTCAATACCTCAATGCAAAGATTGTCTAATGTTAGTACCATTATGTGCCAGACTCTAACTGTAACGACTAAGATCCATTGAAGTAGGTAACGTGGTACAGCGAGACAATATGAGGCTAGTAAAGTAATCCTTTTCAAGAAGCGGTAGGCGATACTATTCAAGGTATCAGAGAGCTTCAAAATGAATAAGTAGAGATTCTGCCAGTATCTAATGCTGGTAATCATCAGTACCTCAAACATCATTGCAGTGTAGAAGCGGAGATTGTCTAGAATTGCTACAAATATGTCCGAGAGTCTAACAACAGCGACTGAGATCGATTTCAGTAGGTAACGTAGTACAGTGAGGCAATATGATGCTATGAAAGTAATCCATTTCAAGAAGCGGTAGGCAATACTGCTTAAGGACGCGTTGAAGTTTAAGGACGATATCAGTCGGTAACATGCTGCAAGAATGAGGAAATACGCTATCCATTCCAAAAAAACTTGGGAATTACTGATCATTGCCTCAAGGACCTTCGAAATCAACTGGTTGTGACTGTCCACAACATCATCATCTTCGACCGTAGAATTGAGCAGATGGTCTTCTCGATCCTGTAGTAGCTTTTCTGCAAAAGTTTGCTCATTCAACTCTTCTGGAATGCTTACCTAAGAAACAGAATGGATTTAAGAGTTGATTTTAAGGAAGATTGAATGACACATTGAAGTTGGAGGTAGCTAGTTTTAACCAGTAGTTGTTTCTTCATTTGTTTATTAAACTTCCAGCAGTGTTTTAAGAGGATGTACTTTGTAATTATAGGACTAACTATATCAATTAGCTACAAGCTTCCTTTTTTTACCATAGACGATGAAGAAGCAGCCCTTAAAATAAACTAGAATTTTGTTCCCATTATATGCATTTCGTCAGTAATCATATGCTATGTTAGTTCAGGGAATATCAAGAAGGGCCATCGAGGTGGCTCTGGAAAGAAATTTAACTACAAATTTGGATGTAGCTGCGCATGTAACAGTCTCGAAAGGTGACCTGGGTATTTGGCCTTCAGTGTATATTAATTTTTTAATAAATTGGATAAATTAAACAAACCTGCGATGCTGCGTTCTTAAAAGGCAAAGCCATCCATTCTAAGAAACCGTGGGTGACACTTGTCAATGCCTCAAAGATATTCGAGACAAACACGCGGATATTCTCCACCATGGCATAAATGTTCTTCCAGCATCTAATTCTGGCAAATGCCTCAAAAATCATCAAGATGAACAAACGAAGATTGTCCAAAATAACAACCATATACTCCCAGACTGTAACAAGAACGACTGAGAATGATTCAAGTACGTCACATGAAACAGTCAAGGAAGATGACGCGAGGAACGCCATCCATTCCGAGAAACTATGGGCGATTCTGGTCAATGCCTCAAAGGTCTTCGTGATAAACAAGCAGATATACTCCATCATGGCACAAATATTCTCCCAGTACCTTACACTGGCCAATGCCTCAAAGATCTTCAAGATGAACATGCGGAGATTGTCAAAAATAACAGCCACATTCTCCCAGACTGTAATAAGAACGACTGAGAATGATTCAAGTAGGTTACATGAAGCAGTCAAGCAATATGACGCGAGGAGCGCCATCCACTCCGAGAAACTATGGGCGATACTGGTCAATGCCTTAAAGATCTTCGAGGTAAACCAGGCGGGGGCCTCCACGGTAGCACAAATATTCTCCCAGAGTTTAATACTGGTCAATGCTTCAAAGATTATGAAGGCAAACACGCGGAGATTGTCCATAAAAACAACCATATTCTCCCAGGCTCTCACGAGATATTTCTCAGTTAGATGGAGAGGATAAGTAAACATGGACCAATAAAAGACGCTCGCATATGTTAAAGTAAAAGTAATAAAAAGTACAGCAATAAATATGGCAGTCTTTTTTGCGTTACAACGTCCGCTCAGATCATATATTTTTCGTAGAATGATCCTAGCTAGGTCAAGGCAAAAGGAAAAAAAGGAATCGAAGTGTCTCTTAGCCTCTTTTACGCCTATGGAAACCTTGTTACAGATAACTCTCGTGTCATTTTTAACCCAAAACATCATCATTTCAACTATGCCGTACAACGAAAGCATTTGGAAAAAGCTACTCC